ACTTATACCTAGTACTCCAACTAAATAATAAAATATCATTTTTGTTTCATCAGTAATTCTTACAAATTATTGAAAAATATTACCATGCCTACTAGACTTGTAAATAATGTGATTTTAAGTTTTTCTTTGTAGACAGAACAAACACCAACTTATCATTTTTACTAGGAATACTTTTACTGTAATTGATACTACGTTAGACATCGCAACCTCTTTTTGAAAAATCCTATTGATTTGTTTTTTGACACGCATGTTTTAACTGTACGGATGTACGTGTGTGTTTTTAATATTGTAAATGTTTTGTATTTAAAATTGCAAAAAAAACTGCTATTTATAGATCTTCACAACAGAAGAAACCCAGTTAATTACGAAAGAATCAGTAATAACAACAACACTAACAACAATGTCAACAACAACAACATCATTAATAATAATAATAATAATAATAGCAACAATAGCAACAACAACAGCAACACAATTGACTGCAATCAGCAACAACACCATCAATTTTTCACCTCGGCGTTTAATACAAAGCTCAAAAGAGAGTTTGAACAACAACTATTACAACAATTACAACAACACCAACAACACCAACAACAACAACGAAAACAACAACAACTAATCGACGATGATGACAACGACGACGACGATGTTGGTTACAGTAATCACACAGACGATCAATCCATTTCAGGTGTCAACATTTTTTGAAAATTATTTTAAATATCAAATAATAACTGAAGTCGGTTTACTACGTGTGAATTCACTTTTGCATACTCTGTGGAGTAAGAAAGAGTAGTCAGATAAGAATATTTACTTATAAACACGCACATGCAGACACACACGCGCACTGGCAAACACACACACGCACACAAATTGTATGTGCAAACACACACACACACACACACTCACGAACACGCATAGTAAATTGACGTAACAAAATACGTTAAAGTAAGGTGCAACTAAAAGTTAATTTCAGTGGCCTATCGATGTTTGTTCTTTTATCTGTGTTCTTTTTTTATGATTGTCTCCTTTTGAAAGTGCTTTAATTTTATTTCGCAAGCGCATCTGTCTGTTGCTCTTTTGTTTTATTGTCTTATCACTTTTCTATCCTATCCCCTATTTTTCTACTGCTGTTTTTCTGTCTATTTGTCTGTCTGTCTATCTGTCTGTCTAGCATAATTGAATATATTTATTTTCAGATCAAACTATATTTGCAGCCAATTCTTCTTTTTCATCAACGCTTAATTATAGAGTGAAACAGCTCATAAAAACACACAAACACACACATACTCACACACACACGCATACTCACACACACAAAGATACACACACACACAGATGCACACACACACACACTCAGACACGCATTTGAGGCTAGAAGATAGTAGATACATAGGACTTTCTAATTTTGGGATGTCTTATGCTGGCTACAAACACTATTAATTGGGTCATGTCTCGATAATGACGACGACGATGACGATGTTGTCGCTGATGATGATTATGACAATGATAATAATAATGAGAATAATAAATGTGATACAACATACGAATGTGATACTGTTTCCATGAATCTTTGTTTTGAAAAATGATAATGTGATGATATAGCAGTGATGATGATGATGAAAAAGTATTGATAGTGATAAAATCATGATATATACACATGCAGGCACATATAAACACACACACGCACGCACGCACGCACACGCACGCACACAACACACGCGAGCACAAACTAGAAAACAAATTATTAATTTGGTAACGCATGCTTGCTCAAAGAGTCAAGTTACCTCTTAGGAGAGATGTGCGTGAAATCTCATTGTGCCAACAGATCAGCACATCCCTGCTTACGTCATCGTCGTTGCGTCATCACAGGAACATCAATAATAATAATAAAAATAATAATAAGAGTAACGATAAGAAAAGCACGTTGATGTTCATGGGATGATGACGACGGTGATGATGATGATGGTGGTGATGATAGATGGTGGTGAAGATGATGATGATGATGGTGGAAAAGAAGATGATGACGATACGTGATCGTAATTTTTTTTAAATTATATACTAGGAACAAGAGGCCCTTCGAACGAAACGAAAACGCAAATTTTAATAAACACACACTCACATGCAAATCCATACACAATTCACACACTCAAACACACACACCAACAAAGGCACAAGCAAGCGTAAGAACACGTAGAATGTATGTAGGAATTGCGTAAGAAAAATAGCGGATTATTCAAATGAGCAACACTTCTTTCACGCACACACACACAAATACACAAACACTCACTCACATACAAACATGCATGTGTGTGTGTGTCTTAAACATCTATGTATTAATTATTTTTTGCATGTGTTTGTTGGTTACGTCATCATGCAGATCCAGATCGACATGCAACATCTGTCATATTCAACTTCCACCTTTTAGGATTTCATACCAACTCATCAGAACTTCATAAACTGGGAAGAAAATTCTACATAATTCTACAACAATGCCAGGCATTTTTAGG